GCAGAGGTTTATTGCTTTCCAAGCTGCAGATTCTCTTCGAGATCTGAATCCTATTAAGTTATTACTTGCAGTGACCTGAGTGGATCCAGGATTGGCTTTTCGAACTGGCCCTGTAACCCTGCACACGCAGAGGCCACCGGGCACCGCAAGGCCACCACTTTGGAGAGGAATTCGTACTTGAGCAACACGAGGGACTGCAGGCACTCAGACAGCGTTAGGAAGACATAATGCTAATTCCCCCATGCATTTCTTCACTCAAAGTCCAAAAATTCAGCAACTTTTTTCCTTTCCAAGCACAGGTGGAAAACATGCATGTGCACACAAAGGCCGTTTCCTCCTCTTAGACACCAACAGCCAAAAGATAACCACAAAAGAATTCAAGCGTTTTGCTTTCCCCATGGGATAAGGGAATTTACAGCTTTCTCCAAGCATTAAAGCTGTTCTCTGAGTGTCTCTGCTTAAAGCCCTGGGGCTAATCCTGCCCACAGTTCAGTCCTGGCTGCCTTCACACAACTGCTTCCTGAGGCAGCAGGAAACCACCCAGCAAACGCAGGCAGGGAGAGGGAAAGTGCCAGGAGCTTTCCCAGTGGAAAAGTACAGCGGGGGCTTCTCCAAGGAGCAGCCAAGGAGCCACGGCCACAGGCATCCACATTTTCAAAGCATTGTTCACACGAAATAGCATTTGCATTTTGCTCCCCAGACGAAGGAACGAGCATCGCTGACACCCTGCCCATGCCCGGGGCTGCCGGGAGCCTCTGGCTGCACCTACAGTAGCAGACCATACATTTTTCGGGGCAGCTTCCAGGGTGCTCCTGCTGGGATTTAAAAGAGGGACTCACAGGAGGCGGGAAGGGTTTGCTCCAGCTCTGTGGTTTGGGTGCTGATGGCGTGAAGCAGGCGAAAGGCACCAGAGGCACCAGGACAGCCCCTGGGCAGCTCTCTGGGCACGCTGGCTGGCTGCACCCCCGTGGACGGGCAGGGCTGGGGGCCGCCTGGTAGCAGCCCCCCCGGTGCAGCTCTCCCCACTCTCCTCCGCATGCCCGTGCTGTTGCTTTCGGCAGCAAAGCAGCCCCCCTTCCCTCGCCGGGGCAGCCAGAGGGCTTGGGGACTTTAACCGGGCAGCCTCCTGCCTCCTCTGGAATAATAACGAAGATGACGTTAATGACTTAAGGAGCCATTTCCTCTCCCCCCAGCTCTGGGCTGACCGTCAGCCGCGAGCCATGCTCTCCCTGCCGCACTTCAGCCTCACCGATACCCTGCCCACGTTACGCGCGGCAGGGACCAGGCACGAGCCAGAGCAAAGCCGAGAAGCCTTCAGACCGGTGGCACCCAACAGCAATGGCCCACAGCGCTTATAAATAGGCAAGGGAGAGGCAGAGGGAGAAGGAG